AGTGCTCTTAGCCACTGAGCCATCTCTCCAGCCCTGCTTCTTTCTTTCTTATATGCCCCAAGACTGAGAGCAAAGAGAGGAGTTCCTGTCTTCTAAGTAAATGTGAGTGTTGAACTTTAGGACTTGTGGGTATTAATGACGAAAAGAGAACATGAAGCAAATTCTCTTTAACTCTGTAAAAACAAAACAAAAACAAAAACCAGGAAGAATTTGTGCTCCTCTTGAGTGGATGACATCACAGGGACTCATAAGTCACATCACACACACCACACACACAGCCTGACCTACATGAGACCTTATCTCAAAAAATAAAACACAAAGAACGAACCTAAAAGTCCGCTGTTCGGAACCTGGTTAAGTGACTTACACCATCTCATCAGCAGAACCTTCCCAGGCAGCCTTAACACAGAGGGAGGAATGATTGGGTTCACATCAAACCAACTGCAATGTACCATCGTCTCTGGCAAAGCTGCCAAGTCCTTGTGCCCATCTGGGAACTACAGGAGAAACCTGAAGTAAGAACCCAAACTGGAGATGGAGGAAGATATCCTCTACAGCAACAAAGATGTAATGGGAGAATCAGGGCTATGAGCAAGACCTCATCCCATTGGCAGTTGGGGTATGACGTGAGGTCTGATGTCGCTTTCTGTGCCCAAGGACTTGTCTCTACTCCAGTGGCTCCAAAGGCCCCAAGTCCCCTGAGTGTTCACCCACAATACCTTCATCTTTCTGCCAGACCTGCTCAAAGGCCAAATGAAGAAGAAGGCCCCCACATCCTCCACTTTCTCCTGCTCTAGGTGCCTAGCATTAATTCCAACACCCTACACACGTCTAAGGAAGAACAAGCAGGCAGGCACTGAAGGAACTTTCCATGCTCTGTCTCCCACACCCATGCTTCTGTGGCCAAACAAAAGCTCTTGCAGGATCAAGATTGGTGGACCAAGGGCAGCGAGAGACAGCCTTAGACATGAGGGCAACCTTGGCAACTAGATGTACATCTTGGCCTACCCTAGGGTCTCAAGTATTACCTCCAAAGAATTGATTTTACAAACATTTATAAGGTACTTAGACCACATGACATTATTCAGTACATTGTTAGTGTATTAATTTCCTTTTGCTGCTGTAACAATTGCTGCTGTTTTTTAAAACATATTTTATTTATTTTGTTGTTTTCAAGACAGGGTTTCCCTGTGTAGCTTTGGAACCTGTTCTGGAACTAGCTCTTGTAGACCAGGCTGGTCTTGAACTCACAGAGATCCGCCTGCCTCTTTATTTTATTTTATTTTATTATGTATATGAGTGTTTGTCTCCATGTATATCGTGCACCACACGTGGGCCTGCTGCTCAAGGAAGCCAGAAAAGGGCGCTGGATGCAAGTGCACTTGACTCGCTAGCCCAGACTGTGAGCATCTTTTTTTTTTTTTTTTTTTTTTTTTTTTGGTTTTTCGAGACAGGGTTTCTCTGTGGCTTTGGAGGCTGTCCTGGAACTCGCTTGGTAGTCCAGGCTGGTCTCGAACTCACAGAGATCCACCTGCCTCTGCCTCCCGAGTGCTGGGATTAAAGGCGTGCGCCACCAACGCCCGGCCGACTGTGAGCATCTTAAAAATCGCATTTATTATCTTACAGCTTTGGGTTCAGAATTTTAAACTGTGGGAGTGGGGCTTACCGTCTTCTCAAGGTTCTGAGGGAGAATTTTAAACTGTGGGAGTGGGGCTTACCGTCTTCTCAAGGTTCTGAGGGAGACTTTGCTTGCTTGCGTCTTCTGGAGGACGCCCACACCCCTGGTCATGGCCGCATCGTTCCCGCCTACGCTTTTGTTCTCCCGTTTCCTTTGCCACTCTGTTTTCCTCTGCAAGGATCTCTCTCATGGTATATAAGACCCATCTGGTTAATCTACAATAATTTTTAATCCACTATTACTATTATCATTATGTGAGACAGACTCTCACTATGTATCCTGGCTGGCCTGGAACTGTATATATAAATCAGGCTGGCCTCAAACTCACAGAGATCCACCTGCCTCTGCCTCCCAAGTGCTGGGGTTAAAAGTGTGCTCCACCATGCCTGGAAATTCAGGGTAATTGATTCATCTTGGGATACTAAATTTTTGTTTTAATTTTATGTGTACAAGTGTTTTGCCTGTGTGTGTATGTGTGTGTGTGTGTGTGTGTGTGTGTGTGTGTGTGTGTGTACACCACGTCTGTGCCTAGTGCCCACAGAGACCAGAAGAGGGCATCAGGCTATGGGCAGTTGCAAGTCATCATGTGGGTTCTGGGAACTGAATCTCCAATCTCCATCCTTTGTAAGAAAAACTGATGCTGAGCTACTTCTCCTGCTCTAATCTCCAGATCCTTCTCCTCCTCCCCCTCCTCCTCCTCTTCTTCCCCTTCTCCCCTGCTCCTCCTCCTTCTCCCCCTTTTCCTCCCCCTCCTCATCATACCCTTCTCCCCCTCCTCTTTCCCCTCCTCCTCCTCCTTCTCTTCCTCCTCTTCCTCCTCCTCCTCCTCCTCATTTTATTTTTGTTTTTCAAGACAGGCTTTCTTTGTCTAACAGCCCTGGCTGCCCTGGAACTCACTTTGTAGACCAGGCTAATCTTAGATTCTTAATCACATTTTGGAAATTCCTTTTGCCTCAAAGGTGACCTATTTGTGAGTTTTTGACATTTTTAGTACACCAGCTATTCTTGTATCCGCCATAGCAAGTGTTAATTCGTCTAACCCTGATGACAATCCTGTGAAGCAGACACTGACATCATTCTGCAAAGAGTGATCCCAAGATACCTAGAGGCTGTTTGCCCAAGGTCATACTCAGGACACAGAAAAGTACACACAGTTCAAAACATGTCCCCTGAGTGTATGACCTTAACTGCCACATGCTTGGAGACCTGACACACACAGATGCTCTGTGTCTGCAGGTGCACACTCTGTCCGCTCACATGTCTATGTGTTTTATATATATATACAACACACACATGTACTTTTCATGAATATGTATTCTGTTCAAATACTTATACACTATAAAAACAAGCATATCTAGCAAATATCTGGGCACTTGCATCTGCAGATACCCCCTCTGCTCATGCACATGCCACTCACACACTCCCTGAGCACATGCCTGCACACTCACACTCATGTGTCATATCTCAAGCACTGTCTGTGCATGCATGTAAGTATACACAACAAACAAACTTCTGATAGTATTTGGATTTATCCTCTATTAAAAACCACACAGTACCCTTTGATGTATGCACCCTGCATATATCTGCACATGGAACCATGCAACATATAACCTCTTGGAAAAATATACTGTGTCTGCACTAAATACATGTACTGTACACAAACACACCATACAGACATGTATTCAGTAATACCTGTGCTATCTAGACTTACATCTCACCCACAATACTGTGCATACACACACATATTGCACACAGAGGCTCATTTATCTCACATACATGTTACAAACACTCAATGTGCAATTCAAAACATCTTGCCCTGAATTCCCTATTTATGTGCACATACTGTGCATTTGTTCTCCATATAGAGACCCTGAGTACTCTCTCTCTCTCCCTCTCCCTCTCTCTCCCTCTCTCTCTCTCTCTCTCTCTCTCTCTCTCTCTCTCTCACACACACCCACACACACTGAAGCGCACACTAAATCCTTAATATATTTTTATGCACACTTCCTGCAGTTGCAGAGAGGTATACATCCTATGTAGAAATTCTAAATTCGTACTGAATTCTCTGCTTCACTCAAAACATCACATAAGAAATAACCTCACAATTGTGCAAACTCATTCGAAGTCTAGAGGCGTTTTCCTCAGGCGTCCCCCACCTAGGAGATCTGTTAATGCCCATTTTCCTGGGCAGGAGGCTGAGGCAGGAGAGAGGCGGGGCTAACCCAGGGCCGCCCCGCCCCCACCCCGCCTCAGCCGAGGTGTGATCAGCCCCCCGGCCCCGTATCCCTCATCCCCAATAGAAAAGTAGTTCCAATACCATGTTTGTTAACTAGGTTATCTAGGCTGTGGAAGATTTTAATGTTGAATTTTATAGCTTTACCACGCTCTGCCGTCCTTGTGAATATTGTAATATTGCATTTTTTACAAGTTACTCTTCTGTTAATGTTCCAGCTAGTAACTTTTATAATCCTCCTCAATGAAATTTTTTTGTATTCTTCCGCACCGTTAACCCCAATGGCGGCGCCTCGGCCCCTGGCAGGAGGCAGATACGAGATGAATTCCTCTTTAATCAGAAATAATAATAATAAAAACACACACGCGGCTACGCCGCCTCTCGCCCCGGCTTCCCTCGCGCCGCCGCCGCCTCTCAGGGCCGCCTGTGGGCCCCGCGGCCTAGGCCCGGGGCGGCCTGCGACAGACGGCGGCGGCGGCGGCGGCTGGGGCAGCGCGGGCTCGCAGCCACCCCGGCCGGCCAGGGCGCCTCCGGGTTCCTGGCTCTCCCGTAGCCGCACCCGGCCCCCGGCCCCCGGCCCCCCGCTCGCCCTGCGTCCTCCAACTGCGGGAGTCCATCTGCGTGGGCCTCCGTGCCTGGGCCAAGCACGGCTCTCCCTCTTCTGTCTGTGAGCGCCTCTAGCTCGCACCCTCCTTTCATTGAGCTGCCTGCCCCTCCCACTGTTTAGTTTTTATCTTCAGTCCTAGATCTCGGGTTTTTTCCCTTGTAGCTAGTTTTCCTCATTCCTGCTTTCTACACCCCCCCCCCAAGACCCAAAATTAGGGTGGAGAGTAGGAAGTTCCAGGGGAAGGATGGGACCCTGGCCTGTGAAGTGAGACTCAGACAGTCTGGGAACAGGGCTGGCAGGGGCGAACAATTGAACTGTCCCCCGTAGGAGCTGTGCAGGAGAAAATTCTGGTGTCTATGGTCATACCAACGGGAAGAAGGCCTCTGGGGTGAGCTTGGGAGGGAGTCCAGAGTTGAGGTTAAAGGTCGGGGAAAGCAGTTGGCCAGTGGAACTCCAGTGCAGGATCCGAGGCATTTTTTCCTTTTAAACTAGATTTTTAATTTTATTTTTATATGCGTGTGTACTGTACGAGTGCCTGGTGCCAGAGGAGGCCAGAAGAGGGCATTGGATCCCTAGAAACTGGAGTTAATCACCGTGTGGGTACTGAGAACTGAACCCAGGTCTTCTGCAAAAACAGCAACTGTTCTTAACCACTGAGCCATTCGTGTCCTTGGTCTTGTCTAAAGGAAAGGATCCCAAAGATGTGGGGAAACAAGCTGGTGCCTGGAGATGGAAGCGAGATGTTCGGTAGCCTTGGTGAGGCGAGATTGAGTGTAAATGCTTTGTTCTGGGGTAAATGAACTGACCTCATCGGTAATGCCCAAGCATGACCCAGGACCCACAGGAGTCTGTCTTCTCAAAGCATTTGCTGAGTACCTACTAGGCGCTAAGCCCTATCCTAGACCCTGGGAAGACAATGATTGATGGAAATAGTTCTTGACCTCTTGGGGCTTGTAGACTGGTAGATGCCACAAATATTTAAAAGCCATGCAAACATGTCCCTACAAACTAGGGTCACTGCCAGGGATTTCTGGGGTGTACATCACTATCCTCTGGACTTGATGGCAGCTCCAGAGTCACATTCCTGGAGTTCCTATCTTCCTACCTGTGCTACACACACACACACACACACACACACACACACACACACACACACACACACCTCCATTGTAGAGAGAGTGGAGCCCCCTCCCAAGTGAGATTTTAACTAGCCTCTTCATCAGAATTTCCTAGCGACTCCCAAATCTGACCATTTCAGCATTCTCCTCCTTCATCATGCAGAAGGGATGGCGGTCCCACACGTGAGAACAGAGGTGCCCAACATCTGGAAAACAGTCTCAGATCAGCCGAACATCTGGAGCGCTAATAGCGGGAGCCGCCAGCGGGCCCAGGATGCTGGGTTCTGGAAGGGTGTGGGAAGTGAAAAGGCTTCGTTAGTAGGACACTCAGCGTCCTTGGCTTCAAGCCCCTCAACCTAGAAGATCCATGTTGGCGCGTTATAATGGTATCGGGCCTTTCTGCGGCCCACGCCTGTGCCACCAGCGTATCCCCACGGAGTCCCAATCCTTGTAGGAAAGGGTTAAAAGGCCCTGCTTCCCTGCTCTACCTTTATTAACCAGCGACAGAGTGCAGGTGAGGGGCGATGCTGTTAAGTGGGATCTGGACGGGTAGGAAGGAGAGGAGGGGGAGGGGCGGGGGCGCCCGCGCGTCGCGCCTGTGCGGAGCACGGAAGCTGCGAACGCCCGCGACAGTAAAACATCTGTAATGTGCCATTCGCCGCTGCTCGCTGATTGCTCATGGATTAAAGATTAAAATCTCGGCTTTGGCAGATGGGGAGAGAGAGGAAACTCTTACGAGCACGTTTTGCATCTGCATTTCATTCTGCTCTGTTCCCTGCGCCACGCCTGGTGGCGCCCGCCCTACCCCGCCCACCCAGCTCCCGGCTCCCCCCCCCGCGCGGCCTAGCTGGCCAACAACCCCTCGGGCGGCCAGACCCCTTCCTGTCCTTCCTGGCCCACATTTTCGGCTAGGGTTTCCACCTCTGGTCAGGACGGTCACTTTCCCGCCCCGGCCCACGCCCCTCGCAGGTCAAGGTGAACGCAGAAAAGAGAAAACGCTCCATCCCGCAGCCATCCTATGGCCAGCACGGTGCTAACCTGTTTGTCCCGACCGGCACCATCCTGCCGTGGTCCTTCTGTGTTTGAAGGGTAGTAATTGTGGCATAACTGGGCGGGCTCACCTGGGCAATTGTGTTTCTTACACTGAGCTTCTGTGGAGACAGAGAGGGGGACAAGAGAGGGATGAAGATAGAACTGCATCAGGGGTCCTTCCCACGTTCTGATAACCCTTGTAAATTAGTCCAGTCCTAGCTCACTAAGTGTGCTTAGGCACCTGAGGTACATCCTTTAGTCTCTTCATTTCCTCCTCCCTACAGGACATGTTCTTAACATCAAACTTGGTTGAGGAAGGAAATCCAGGCCGATGGGATTAGAGACAAAGGGCTTTTGGAAAGACAGAAGGGCATTAGGGAGACAGAAAAGGAACAAAAGCGGCAGAGTGGTGTGGCAGATGCTGGCACCTGCATGTATGGAATGGTGGGGGTTGAGAAGGGCAGGGAGAGGGATGGGGGTCCTGCCAGGTCTTCGGTGGGAGGAGAAAGTGGTCCAGGGCATGTAGAAAGGAAGCTGAGGAAGGGTGAATGAAGATGTGGCAGATGTAATTAATTACAGCACATTCAAATGTTTGTTTACAGAGATGAACAACGGCCTAGGTCTGATGGTAATTAATTCACAGTATTTCCCGGTACTCTTTGAGCCTCAACCCCTGGGGGAGGGGCATTGGGTCAACTGGGCTGGGTAAGGTGCTCCCACCCTTCTCTGACAGGGATTAGAGCCCAGAATGGAGGCGGGGTGGGGGTGGGGTGGGGGTGGGTAACCTCAGACTTTGCCTAGTCCAGCTCCATCCTCTAGACCAGGGGGACTGAGTGGTTTTTCTCGAAACCAGCAGCTAGTTAGTGGTAGAACTAGGGAGGATTATAGTCTGGGCTTCCTGGAAACATCTTCAAGGCCAAAGGAATGTGGAAGACAATGGCGGAAATGGCAGGGTGGAAGGAGCAGAAAAGGACATGGGGGCTGAAGGAAGGGTTTGGGGAGGAAGACAGATGTAGGACTTTTCCTGGGGAGATGATCAGGGGCTCCCTCATTCTGGGGCAGGGTGACAGGGTGGTATGGTTACCAGAAAGTGGCCCCATCCTCACTGCACTGCCTGGCCCTCAGCAGAAGCACAGGGCACCCTCAACCTTAGTGTCCCACAGTCTGTCAAACTTTGTGACTTCAGGGAGACAGCTGACCTCTCTATACCAACCTTCCTTCCTTTTTCTAGTCTTATCTTTCTCTCTTCTGCGTTACACTTTTAGAAGGGAGCTTGCTGGGTGAGATGACTCCACAGTGAAGAGCTGCTCTTCCAGAGGACACAGGTTTGGTTTCCAGCACCCACATAGCTTCCCATGATTACTTGTAACTCTAGTACCAGGGGGTCTGACTTCCTCCTCTGGCTTTCTTGAGCACTAAGCTTGTGAATGATGCATAGACATACATGAGGGCAAAAGTCATACACATGAAATAAAATAAATGAATCACAAAGTGCTTTATTAAAGGATCAGTTGAGTACTTAAAAGACAGTCTAATTTTAGTATTTGTGCTACCAAAGCTAGCACTCTTTTCAAAAATGTATTCTAATTGTTTCGTGTGTATACGAGTATTTTTCCTGCGCGTGTGTCTTTGCAGTGTATATATGTGTTGGGTCTAGGGAAGCCAGAAGAGGGCATCAGATCCCTTGGGCCTGGAGGTACAGATGGTTGTTAGCCTCCATGTGGGTGCTGAAAATCAATCCCAGGTCCTCTGGAAGAGCAACCTTTGCTTCTTTTGTTCTCTCTCTCTCTCTCTCTCTCTCTCTCTCTCTCTCTCTCTCTCTCTCTCTCTCTCTCCTTCTCGAGACAGGGTTTCTCTGTGTAGCCTTGGCTGTCCTGGAACTTGCTCTGTAGACTGGATTGGCCTCAAACTCACGGATATCCACCTGCCTCTGACTCTGGAGTACTGGGATTAAAGGTCTATGCCACCACCACCCAGCAGGCAACCAGTGCTCTTAACCAGTGAGCCATCTCTCCAGCTTCCTTTCCTTTGCTTGGGACTAGGTCTTATGTCACCCATGGTGGCCTTAAACTCACTGTACGGCCCAGCTGATGTTTCTGTGTCAGCTCCAACAAGGGTCCTTTGTTCTCACCCACTTCGCTGGTGCAATGTCCATCTCAGGATCAGAGATCCTCCTAAATTCACAAGCAAGTTCATTCATCTATTCACCGGGGATTCAGCGCATGAGAGGAATTGCAGGACCCACAAAAACAATAGTGAAGGCTCAAAGGAATGCCAGTGGAGGGTGACACACAGTAGACATGGGAAGACACACACCTGGAACATCTGGTCCAGGCCAGGACACAAAGGACAGGGGACGTGGGGCAGGAGTAAGGGCAAGGGTGGGTCAGGGTGTTGGTGGAAGTTTGGCCCATTCTCAGAAGGGACCCCATAGAGGCTTCTCCTTAAGTGGGCTGGAGAGGGGATTTAGCATTTTCAGGCTGTTCCTTTAACATCAACCCCCCCCAGTGAAGAAAACAGTAAGGGGGAATCAGGCTCCAGGTGAGCAAAGAAAAAGTTGAGGACAGATGAAGGTAGTAGCATTGCCTCCTGGAAGGTTCTGACTTGGAGCAAGAATGGAAACTGGAACTAGTGGCCCTAGACTTCTTTGTGGCTGTGAACGGCTGGTGGGGGGTAGGTGACCATGACTGGACTATGCCTGCAGGTAGGTGTGTGTGTGTGTGTGTGTGTGTGTGTGTGTGTGTGTGTGTAGGAGGGTCATCATAAAAGAAAACTTTCTTGCAAACAATACAAAAAATACACAGAAGACAGAACCCAGAAGACGGAGATGAGTCAGAAGAATCAATGGCACCAGTGAGAGCCCCCCACATGTTGCTCTTTCCTTCCAGTCTTTTTTCTTCAGGAACACACTGAGACCAACGGTGCCTTCAAGCACTTCTCTTCCTCCACTCCTTCTATCTCCAAATCCTAAGCCACCTGGCCATAGGGTCGCACCGGCTCTCCTGTACAAATCCCACGCCACGCAGAGGAATTCTGGGGGCGGCCTGGCGGGCCAGGCATGCTGCTGGGGAGTGTGGGCTGACTGGGAGGGCAGCGGGGCGCGGGGAGAAGCGGAGGAGGGAGAGCGCGGAGGAAGGCGGGGCGGAGCTGTCGCTTCCCATCAGCCGGAGGATTGTTCCCGACACGCGCAGGCCCCGCGGCGTTTCTGTGTCAGGGAGTTTTGCCGGCGCCGTGACCCATGCGAGGGGGGTCGGGCTCCGCGCGGGGAGCGGCCAAGAGTGACCAGCGCGGCCGGCCGCATCATCACCACCTGGCCGGGTCACTGCTTTGCTCTCGTGCCCGGAGCCTCGAGGAGCAAGGGAGGGCTCCCGGGGGTGAGGGAGGACTCTATATTCTTCCAGCGTCTTCTCCCCATATCCCTTGGGGAAGGTCGACGGGGAGCATCATTTCCCACACAGAGGGAAGGAGGCTCCTAGAAGCAGCCCAAGCCAGCATCCCGGACTCAGTTTCTTAGGTTTGGAAATGGGGGTGGTGCGTTTCGTGGTCCTGCCTGCTGACAGTCTAGCTCTTTGCAAAGTAGAGAAGGCCTCGGCTGAGGAGTGCAATGTTCGAGGGTGACGGGTCCCCAAAAGAGGCGCGGAGGGACTATTGAGCCCCAGGTTACCCCAGAGTCAGAACTGAGATTGGACTGGAAGGCACCAGGAGGCTGGGGGTGTGTCTATGCAAATTAGATGGTAATCGGGTCGTGGGTGGCCAGTTTCCGGAGCCGAGACTGCCGGTGGAGGGTGGAGGAGGGGCGGTAGAAAGGGCCGGGACAGCTCCTGACCTCTTCCCCCAAGCCACTGGTCCCATCTGAAGTCTGCCGGCTCCATCTTCAGCACTTAATGATTTTGACGGGCCCCACCCGCGCACCATCGGGGCTTTTGTGTCTGCCAGACCAATGGCCCCTCTCCTGGGCCCACCCATCAGTCACCCGGAGCTCCAGCTGTTCCCAGCCTTTGGAGCAACCTCGGCCCGTCACCACTACAAATTGGCTCTCAACAGCCGCTGGGAGACCCCTTTTCTGCCATTGTCTACGGACAAATGGCCTTTCCCCTGCGCACTGCCCGTGCAGGCCCAGCCCAGGCTGCCTGCTGCTTCTGGGAAAGGGGGTCGTTGAGCTTTTCTAGGAAGCCATCCTGACTTCCTTTTCTAACTGGTATAACCTAGCCAGGATGGGCCAGGAAACATCTGACAGCCCAGGATTCTGAGTCCTTTGCTCAGCGGGCTCCTCGAGGCTTCTTCTGTTTCCTTCCTGGCCTCAGGAGCCAGAGAAGTCTCACTTGTTGCTGAAGCTGAATTAAGGAGTACAGAAGGAGGGAGGGCTAGATTGGTGGGTAGGGCATGAAAACTGGGAGCCAGGGATCCCAGGAGCTGCCATGGCCAAGCACAGAGCCAAGACAATTACATGCCTAGTTTTGCTGATTGCATTAAAATCATTAGAACGAGAGATCTGAAAAACATACATTAAGGGGCAGAATTAGGAAGGGCTTT